TGCTATGCAAAAGCATCTTGTTTCTGTATCTCATTTATCTGTATCTCCATATTTACATAGTTGAAAGGTTTTCAATAAAGCAAATCTAGTTTTTAGACATTTTTTGTACTGAAGTGTTTCAGTGTGCTACTGTGTCAACTTCAGCTTGTTTTGATCTCTTATTTCTTTCCTGCTGAAAATTCATGTCTCATGTCTAAGATAGGGTTTTAAAATACTTTGGTTTTTTTATTGCTTGTGTTTTCATAGTATTTTTATTGTTATTAGTTTATTAAGCATTCCCTAATGCTTAATTTCTGTGAATGTGATTTACTGCGTGCCATCATTTCTAAAAGGGCTGTTCTATCAAATGGTTATCTTTAATCAGTGAGTCTCATAAGCTGCATGTGATTATTGGCACAGTTTTGGGTACCTACTTAAGTGTCTGAGTTGAATACCCTAAAATAGATCCTACTATTCTATAGCATAGTGAGATCTATTCTGAACTTGTAGCTATTGGTCAGTATGGATTTGATTTCCTCTTGATGCAGTTGTGGTTGGGATTGTTCCGTGTGCTGGTACTTCCATGCCAGGAGTTGTATTTTGTGGAGAAGTAACTTGCAGTCAGTTAGTGGATGTTCACATTCAAAGAATCAGCACAAGCAGAAAGAAAATTGTTTTCACCCAGAGTGCTGGTGCTCATAGTGTGACCACAGACATTTTTTTGAATGGGTTGAGACTCTTCGACAGCAAACCTTAGGTTACATGATCACAGTCTTGCATTTTCAGGTTCCTTTCACAGGCCTCTTTTGCTCTGCACAAATTGAAAGCAACTGCAGCACTACAGGCTATGGAAAGAGAGGGAAAATAATACAGGACAGTTAGGAATTCAAATTTGGAATTCAGAGTAAGGTTGGATCTCCTTTGCACGGATGTAGGGATGCTAATGATGAATTCCTAATACCTTCCTCTTTGTTGGCAATGACTTTGTGTACTTGCAAGCAGGACTGTCTGCCTGCCATATAGACGTATGGTGCACTCATGCTGTTCTGAAGTTCCTGCTGAGCTCTAAACTTCAGGCTGGGAGGGAGTCCCTTATCTGCCCAGGTATAAGGTAATGCTCACTGACAGCTCGTGGCAATGTTGAGGCCTCTTCTGGAAGATGATTGGCCTTTCAACAATATAAGGCACTGGAAGTTTTCAGGATGGTTTTTCCTTACAGAGCTTTAATATTTGGGTTACTAATTTCATAGTATATTGTAAAACAATGATCTTTACTGCTGTAAAACACCTTTCTCTAAGTTCCTGGAAACTTACATGTCCTCCCTAAGAAAGAGCAAATAAAAATGAGAAAAAATATGCATCAACTTGAGTAAGAATCACCATCTTAAGGTACATAGTGAAATAGACACAATGTTGGAGAGTGAAGAAAGTAACAAATCTAATTAAAATGTGTTTTTTTCTCCTCTTTACAGTTACTGTCTTTTGTTGTTCATTATACTTGTTGAGCTTGCACATAAATGATGGACTGATTCAGTGAACTCATTGTAATAAATTGTTTGATGTGCTATCTTGAAAAAAAATCGTTTGAAATTCTGTCTCTTTTCTTTGTCTATTCACCTTGTGGCTCTTGATATCTTGCTTCCCATCTGTCTGATTCTGCCATAGTTTGAGCATAACTTTTCAGACTTCAATGCAGGTCTCTTTTTGTTCTGGTTTAGATAAGTATATAACAAATGTGTGATTTGGCTGTCAAGACTAATAGCAGAAAAGAATCTTAAGGAGTGTTGCTTTTACTGATGTGAAATAGAGAAATGCCTATCTGTAGAGATGTGATTATACATATTTATGTATGTAATCTGCCTCTGCAAGCAAATGAATAAAGAGATGTATTATTTGTATTAGATATGTTTTAATGTTACCAGTCCAAAGGCTACTTTAATAGATCTCTTATTACTGAAGGGGAGAGATGATTCAAGAAAAGAGTTTTAAACCTATATTTAAAAGTCTATAACTGAACAGGTAATACAAATCAATCTCCAGTTTGAGAAGTTAAGTTGTAGCTATTCTGTGCAGAAATTACCTCTAAGCTACGAGATATTTTCTGAGTCTTGAAATGCAGAGGAGCTTGGAGAAATATTGGTTTTGTTAACAGTATTTCTACGGGGGATACCATCTCTGTAGAGAAGTTTTTTGAGTTGTCATTTATAATGCTTTTAGTTAGAAGTTTGCTTCTGGATAAGTTCTGGGTTTCTTATTAAGGACATAGAGCATTAATGCTGGAAGATCTTGTAGATAGCGTTATGTTGGTGAGCATAAGGGGATGTCAGTGAGATCAAGGGGAGTGAAATGAGCCAGGAAAAGAAAGAAAGGGAAAAACAGAGTATTCCTGGGACTGCTCTAACAGTTTCATGAGACTGTAGGAATAGCAGCAAGTGTTCCAAGTCTGCTAAATTCATTAGACAGTTATTACTAATGTGGCAGAATGCCACGAAGTTTACTTAACTAAGTATGTGTATGCATACAACACAAAGTACTGAAATACTTGCTTTGATGTGGTCAATAGAAGTTTATTTGTATAATAATGACGATAATAAAAATAATACTTCCTTTTGACTGGGTAATTTGACTGTAAACAAGATATGCAACTCAGAAGAAATTCAAAAGGAACTTGAAGCCTTTTTCCTTCATGATTTACTGAAGAAAAATTGTAAACAATTTTAGCAAGATGCATGGATGCATGTATTAAAGCAAAAGATGAACACACTGACTGAAAGGGAGATGTTTTTCAGACTGAGGCCTTAACATGCTCCAGGCAAATTTTAGTTCTAAACGTGCACAGTCTTTGACAACCTTCTGACTGCCCTGGTGTTGCTGGCTGTTGCTCCTGAAACAAGCCTTTAAGGGTGCAATTCCAGTGCCCAGTGAATGCTGTGTTTTAAATCTTTTTTTTCTATTGTATTGGGTACAAGTGCTTTGGAGACATGTGTACCTCTTTGTTTTCCACTGTTAAAAGAATGATATACACCTCAAACAATTTGCAAAGCTGTTACAAATATGTAGTATTTGAAGGTTAGAATCTTTCTTGCGGAACTTCCATTTCTACAGCATAGGCAGCAAGTGCAGTGACATCTTGATTGAACCTGATATTAATGTGGTAGGATTTGTGACTTGCACAGTTTCAATTCACTATGTCCTTCTCACAATTAAGATTTATCTAGCATTTCCATCCAAAAGTGGGAAGACTAAATAGGCAGGATGCCTTGTGTCTTAGCCTGCTGTAGTGGATGCTTCTCACCCGTGGGTGAAATTTGTAATACATCAGTTGTGTAGTGCTGCACACAGTTAAGAACAATATCTTGCAATTAATGTAGTATGAATTTTGTCATTGTTGCATAACCATTTGCTGTGGTAGAAAAATATCACTGTGGTGTTACCTCAGATTGAAAAATGAGAGGAACAATGAGATTAGGATATATGTTATTAATAAATAGTTTTTTTTGTGACTCATCTAACTGTAATAATAGAGTGTTTCATTCTGTGTTACTGAGGAAAGTTGCAAACGAGAAGGAAAAGTCCTTTCTACATACTTCACAGGTCCATTTCCTTTATTGCTGAGATTTTTTTCTCCTACTTAGGGCTAGAGTAGACAGTGTTTAACATTTTAGCTGAATGAAGTGACACTGATAGAATAAGCTGCAGCTTAATGGCTACAGAGTGTTTTCCAACAGTTCTCAGGAGTAGTGTGCTGTATTTCTAGTTAGTAGTGTTTCAGAAGCAGCTAAATTATCATTTGCTGTACATCTTCCTAGGTTTTCTGCCAGTCTGAATCAACATAAACTTGACTTACTATTATATATCTGCTTTAAATATGGAATTGATGTACTCATGCTGCCTTTTCAGAGCACGTGAAGGAAGGAAGGGAAATGAATTTTTTTTTGAAGGAATTCTGATATAATGCACATATTACTGGTGGACTTTAAATTAATTGCTCTGCATTTTGATGTAGATTAGTAGTGACAGAACGGTGTAAACACTGAGCATTGTATGAAATTTCAGACATCTCCTCTAGATAGAATTAAATCTTTTTGGAAAAAAAAAAGAAGTCGGCTTACCATAAAAGCAAGCAATTTTACTTACTTTCACAAGTATTTCCCAAGTATTCAAGTGTGAAACAAATGCATCATCTGATGAATTAGTGAGAACCTAATTGTAATGCTTTCATGTGTTACTTGGATTCAGATACAGTCCCACACAGTTCTCCCAAAGAAATAGTGATGAATCTGACAGTGACTATGGCAGAACTACTGATTTCATGCAGTACTGCATCATAAGGTTTCATTCTTTTCTTAAGATGTATTTGTGCTTTACGAAATGTTTACCCTGATATTATGGTTACTAAAGTTTGCATGCTGTATTTTTCAGTGTCTTCTATCAGTTTTTTGTCTGTCCTACTATTAACTCAGTAACTCATTCCTTATCTTCTAGTGTCAAATGACCTACCTCTTTGTATTTCAGGATATGTGGGAGTTGAAGAATTCTGAAATATCTTCTGTAACTTGAAGGAGAACAGGAGAAAACAAAGATCTTGTGACTGAGAAAATGTCTTTGTGATTTAAGCCTGGGTCTGAGATTCAGGAAATGGGAGTTGTAGCTCACAAATTTGTTGTGCTGCTTTTTCCCTTTTAAAGTTTGGACAGGACACTTTGTGCCTGTTGACCATTCTGCAAAGTGTTTAGGGTAATACTGCCTTATTTCTAAAAGCAGTTTAATGCTAGATTTGCGTGGCATTACTAGTGTTATGGAAACCTATTTTTTTTTTTTCCTTTACTGTATGAGTTTTACTTAAACAATCACTTTCATATCTTTTTCAAGCTATTCATAATATGCGATATGTAAAAGATGCTTTTGTGACATGATTTACCTTGTGTAGATAAATGCCATTCAAGTACGCACAAATCTTAAAGAAGTTGCCAGTGAACTCTGAGGTTTTTTTAATACTTCACTTTTTTTTCTATTTCCAGGTTGCATGTCTTACTTATGTAGCAGCTAATTACCTTAACTGCAAAATTGATGCTAAACGCTGGGGCACAGCTCATGGCAGTATTGTTCCATACCAGGTAAACAAAGCATGAGGTTTATTCTGTTTTTGAAATTCATCGCTTTATGTATTATGAGATTGAGAACTGACTGACTTTTCCCATGACCTGCTGTATTCTGTAATGTATCTGAGTCTAGGTAGGACAAGGTTCTGTTGTTCATTGTAGTTTGAGCATTTTGCATATTTCTTCGTCAGCAGTAGATTAGTAACAGAACACTGAAATAGATCAAAAGGGTTTAATGAAATTGGATGACATTAAAGCTAGCACGGTGCCTAGATTTTTTTTTTTTTTTCATCTGACAGAGAAAGCAGGTTTTCTTTTCTTTTTTTTTTTTTTCATTTTAAGGATGATCTGACTTTCATACCAGTCACAAACTGATATATATATATATTTTTTTTGTCTCTGACTTATTTTTACCTTGTGAGTTTCCAAAAACAATCTTGGAAAGTGGCTGTGGAAGTCAGGGAGTTATTGTAAATTAGACATTTTCCACTGAGTTTCCTGCAAATCACTGCTGCTCATTCAGACAACAGGTTAGAAAAAAAATTAACCAGACCTCCAATCTCTACAATAGAGTTCATAGCCTGCTACATCTAATGAAAGGCTGAAATTCCTTAAAATAACATGACCTTCATCATATAAACAAGCAGAGGAAAAAAATTTGCTGCAAGCTTTATGTTCTGTCTTGTATGGGAAACTCTTCAAGTAAACAAAACTTTGTTCTTTTCTAGCTAATCGTTTGGTTGTCTTGATGAAGATTGTTACTAGCTTAGGGAGATCTGGGCATATATACTTAATCAGTCTATTCTTTTTTTTCATAGTTCTTGGCATTTGTTATCAAAACTCATGTTTGCATCCAGCTAGGCAGTCTGGATTTTTTTCATTTCTGGCTAGACCCCTTTAAATCTTGATAAGGGTAGTTCCAGCATTTGTCTGGGAAAACTGACATCTGAACACCACTCAGTATTTTTCTTGGTAGAAAATGAGAGGAACTCCATGCAAACATCAAGGGCAGGCCTTCTCAGGTATAAAATGTTAATCAGTTCTTTTTGTAAAGACTTTGCCTACTTGAACCAGGAGACTTTTTTTCTTTTTTTTGTGCATGTCACTGCCTAGTCAATAGAATAGCAATTTTTGGACCAGCTAGAGTAGGTTACAGATTGTCTCTGAGAGATGTTGAGACGATGTGGCTGTTTCTGCAATGCTGATTTTGATCCTGGAGTGTTTTTTATCTTGGTGTACTACTGTTACTCTGGTGAGCACAGCAGGATGTCCATATTTTTTAGGACTAGCTCTGCACGCTGTGTAGTGCAACGTGACCCAGCCTTACCAAGCATCCACTACACAAGTTGTTCCACGTTTTTTGTAATGTGACCTTTTGGTGTTACCCTTTTTGAACTTTGGTATGTTGAAAGTACAAAACAGACCTGAAGTGTCTGAAGTTTGTATAAGCAAAACCAAAAACCTGACTAAACAAAACATTTTGTCTTCACCGTACTGCGTTTGGTTGAATAAATGAAGCTTGGATCCTTTTAGTACCTTTTGCCATTTTTCTTTTGTGGCTTGTCTCAACTTTCTATGAGTTAGCATGGCTATGATTTTGATGGTGACTTTAAATTTATTGTGCTTTCTACAGTTTCTTTCTCACTTTACTTTGATAGTTAAGTTAAATTTTAGGAAATTGAAACTAACCTTCACTGTTGTGATCGTGTTGCACTGATAGGTGCTTCCATAGCTCGTTTACCATATAGTTATAGAACAAAACTCTGAAACTTGACAGTCACCCCCTGTCATAGTTACTGAATTTGTCTTTTGCTTATTGAATTAATGTGTGACTATCACAATGCTTGTTTTTATTAATGTTTGTTTCAGGGTATTTTGGCCAAGTGAATAACTTATTCAAATAATAAAAATGACATTTCAGGGAACTGAACTTGCATACAACTTGGAACAAGTTTGTGGTAGCAAAATGTTATTTCTTCCTATGGTCTCAACCTTAATTTATTATCATTTGCTGTAGATTGTACTTGCACGTTGGTAGTGAATTATAACTTTGAAGTGAAGCAGAGCCTGAAATCCTGCTGAAAAAATGTCAGACCGTGATAAATAGTGGAAGTATGGGTTATTGTGGAATATACTTTTGTAGGCATTAAGGCAAAACCTAGATATTTGTGATATCTTTTTGTGACAGAAGCCTGGTCAGAGTCACATCTAAATCTAAAAAAATCTAAAAAGACAAAATCTAAAAAAAATACACATAGAAAATATTTTAAAATATATGTAATTAATACTTAATTGTTTTTTTAATTGTTGTGGTAATTGATCTAGTGCTCTGTTCAAAAACTCAAAAAATTACAATAGCATTCAGCATATATCGTTCACTGAGTTTTAATTTCGTAAGTTTGGCAAGAGTATCTTTGCAAATGGCTTCATTTTCTGTTCTGCTTACAAGGCCAAATTCAGCTTTGTGTGTGTATTTAGATTTTTAACTTCACCAATTCCCTCATTACTTCTTCATGGTTACACTAGTGGCATAATTTTTTTCCTGAACCCTTGTTAACCCTTGACTGAACTTTCTTTTTGTATTTAAAACCAGGTTTTCTACTAGGTTTTCTCCTTCCTGAAATTACCAGGATGTGCAGCTCCTTTGAAAATCTGGTCCTTAACCAAAGAGGTGTGGGGTTTGGAGGAGGGTTTTCGTACTCTTTTAAAATTTTTTCTCATTTTCTGATAGTGTTCTCCTTTAACCATGTGAGATGCTGAAGTTTTCATTTCTGCTTGCTCATCACCAGAACTCACAAAAAAGAAATCTGAACTTCTTCTCAGTGCACGATCTCTTTCGTGGTGCACATAAAGCTGTCTGCATGGAAGCTTGCCAATCAGTTTGCAAAGGTTTTCGATAGAAGCAAACTTTGCAATGTGCCACAGTGGCGAAGAAATCTGGATTCTAATTTACAAAAGAAACTAATTTTTACAATGCTGAAACATTCATAAGAAACCATCTGCTTTGAGCATATCTTGCTTCAGTAGGCCACCACTTTGATCCTCTGAAGAGGAACAATATCTTGAGCTTAACTAGATCCCAATTTGCTTAGCTTCAAATGTTAAAACACAAACCTTGAGTTCTGGTCTCTATCTTAAATGTAATTAGTACATTTTTTAAACAAGTTTCTGTAATGAGACAGGTTGTTTAGCTACAGCTGCACCGTGATTATCCAAAGGAAATCAGGAGCTTAAAAGCATCCGGTTTACATAAATGTGCAGAGAAGTAAAGTTGTGTTACTGTCTTTCGTTTGGGGTGACAAGGTCTTTCCTCATTCTCATGGTTTCACCAATGAACTATCTTACCTGTAATGTGGCTGAGATCTGTACACTCGCTTATTTGTTTTCCAGTTGGAACAGTGGGAATAGATAAATTCTCCTCAGAGAATCTTTCATAACAGTGTGTTTACAGGTAGCTTATCGCCCTTCCATCAGCCACCTGGATAGCACTTTGGCATGCAAACTTCTAGGTAACAGCATGGACTGCTTGCTCTTGGGCCATAATGATAAAAGTTGCTTTGAAAACTATGAGACCAAGCTCTTACAAATCTCCACCTACCCAAAAATTCTCTCCCATAAACATGATTTTATTACTCTTCCAAGTTTTTTCTTAGCATTCATGAGAGCTTCTCAAATATCCTTTGCATTTTCAGAGTGTGCAGAGGGCACAACCTTCTGCATAGAAAGTGAAATCACAAGACAGGAAACAAGCGATTGTTTTAGTCGGTTATCTTTCCTTTGTCTGTGCAGTGCCATAACTAATCACACCTAACATGAGTGGATTTATATCTAAACATCACTGAGATTTTCTAAGGATCAGCCCTTTGTTGTGCTAGCTGTAAGATTTCCTTCTCGTGAGGAAATAGTTTCTTTGTCAAAAGCCTTTCAGTTTCAATATGTGATGAAAACGAAAATATAAGTTCCCAATGAAGTAGAAGTCATGAAAGTAGTGGGAAGAGGAGTGTAGTCATGTTATGTAAATATCTTGGCATCATTTTTATAGTCCTGCATCTCATTCTTTCATTGTGGAATCTTACAGTGTTTGAGATTCTTACAATAAACATCCCTTGTCCTTTACGTCTCATCACAGGAGAAAATGCAGTAGATTATTATCTGCCCAGCTGATCTGGTGGAGGTGCTTTTCATGAGTGTGGATAGAGCAGCAAAATAATTTTAGTCATTCAGAAATGTTATGCTGCTTATTCTACACAAGATCCTAGAAGTGTAGTCACTTTCCTTTCTGCCTTGATTTGTTTTTATTTGGATACCTCTGCAATTAACATGCCTTGGAATTAAACTCAGCTAAGGTTAGAACCTGAATTATTTTTAAGCTTCTGTTTTGTGTGTGAAACTCTTCTCTTAAAATCAATTTAGATTTATTTATTGGAAGAAAATCTTTCTTGTTTGCAGTGGCTTGGTAAGGTGGAACTTCTCCAGAGGGAAGATATGAAATACAGATTTCTGGGGGGAGTTCTAGGTTCAGGAAATAAAGATGACCCTTCTTGCTGTCTGAACCTCATCTACTTAGTATTTGTTGGACTTTTTAACCTGCCTTGGGGGCCCCTTGTCCTATATTGTTGTGATGAGTAATGAAATGTCATTGCTGAAAGTACTGCCTATTTGTCATGAAAATTAAATGTATTCAGATTGACTGAATAGAAACTTTGTGCTCTCAAGCAGGAAAGCGTGCTTTCTCCACTGTATGGAGTCAGTTTCCAAAGAACAGTTTGGTTATCCTCGAGATAAGTTTTGACTTATACCTGGATATATACATATATTTTTGGAATGGCTTCTTTCTTTTTTTTAATCTTAAAGGGGGAGAAAGCTATAGAATCCTTTGTCATCCGAGGTCTTACAAAATAAGAAAGCAAAACTGAATATGTCAGTGTTTTAGTTTCACTGTCCATAAAGAGGGCCATTTGGTTGTTAGGAGGTTTTAGAGTAGAGTTTGTTTCCTTACCATTTTAGTCAATGGA